GAGTGTTTTTATCAGGAATGGATGTTGGATTTGGTCAAATGCCTTTTCTGCATCAATTAATATAATCACGGGGTTCTTTTCCTTTGTTTTATTTATGCTGTGGATTATACTGATTGTTTTTCTAATACTGAACCATCTTTGCATCCCTGCTATGAGTCCCACTTAGTCATGATGGTTGTTTGTTGTTGGGGTTTTTTTTTTTTGTTTTGTTTTTTGTTTTTTGATAGGTTGTTTAATTCGATTGGATATGATTTTGTTGAGAATTTTTGCATCTGCATTCAACAAATATAATTTTTGTTTATAATGATGTATTTGCCTTATTTTGGCATGAGGGTTATCCTTGCATCATAGTACGTATTTGTGGTTTTCCATCATTTTCTATGTTCTGGAATAGTTTGGGTAGAATTGGTGTTAGCTCTTGCATGTGCTTTAGAGAAGTATTCATGAGGAACATCATGCTTTATAAAGTTGAAGGTCAGCAAAAAAAAGAGAGGAGGATCCTAGTGAAATGGATTGACATAGTAGCTGCAACAAGAGTTCAAGTATAGCAAAGATTGTGTGGATGGTGCAAGGTTAAACAGTTTTTTTTTCAGTTGTACATAGGGTCACTCTGAGTCAGAACTGACTCAATGGCACCTAAACACAACACCAAAAGCTTCATGGAGTATTGTACTCTATAGTGCTGGAAGATGAGCTCCTTAGGTTCAAAGGTATAATAGCTGCAGCAAAAGACTCAAACATACAAATGATCATTAAGATGGCCTGGGATCAGATAGCATTTCCCTCCATTATTGATGTGTTGCCATGAGAATTCATGGATGACAACTAGCAACAAGAATATGTGAAAAACACTTTGCCAAGTGCTCCACTGCATACAAATATCTAGAACACTTTGACTTCATGAAATTTAGTCCAGTTTAGCAGTGATAAGAGTTTTGTCTTCAAATATGTCAGTGACAGTCTATTGGTGACAAAAAAAAAAAAAAAAAAAAAGATCTAAGTGTTAAAAGGGAAGGCAGCAAAAAAACAGGCTCATCTCTTATGTGTAAGAGACAAGTAAATGGACAGACTCAGAATTCAAGCTATGCTCAACTGACATGGTGAGGTAATTTTGTTTTGTTGTCCTTTTCCTAAGTTTTATCATTTTCCCACCTATAAGACAGAATATTGCACAATTAAATACATATAAAAGTTCAAGATTCTCTTGAAAAGGCCAGAGATTCTCAGAAAAGGCATGCTGAAGCCCATGTTCCTTGCTGGCAGCGATGAGCTGAAGTTGGATGCTTTAGGTAGGCTGCTCAGGCACGTCTCTGCCTTCCTCTATCCATTAATTGTTTCTTTCATTTGGCCAATGCCTCTTGCCTCTACCCAAAGGCATTTGGGTTAATGAGCCCTGCCCTGTATTCGTTTTGGAACCACATCAGCCCCTGTTCCCTTTCAACGTCTTTTTCTTCTCATGCAGGTACTATCCTCTATCTACAAGGCCCCACCACTTCTGGTCATCAGGAAGACACCCCTAGAGTTCACCTCCTTCCCATCTTCCTCATTCAGAACACATACACACTTCTTCCAATAGGTGGCATTCAAATGGGTCAGGATGACAGTAAGAGGAGGGACTGAGGTCATTGCCAAATTGGAAGACTAAAGTAGATGCAGTGGATTATAGCCAAGGACCAGAGGGCAAGAGGTAGTAATGAATTATGAGGGAATTTTTCAGAAGTGATAGCTGAATAGAGAGCAGGAAGGAAGCAAAGGACCAAATTTGAATTAAAATAAAAGGAGAGGTGAAAATGGCCAATAAGCACATGAAAAGATTTGCAACATTAAAACATTACCAACCAAACTCAACCAGTTGCCATCAAGATTTTTCTAACTCATGGTGATCCTGTGTTTATAAGAGTAGAACATTGTTCTTGTTAGGTGCCTTTAAATCAGTATCAATTCATAGCAACTCTTTGCACAATAGAATGTAAGACTGCTTGGTCCTGGGCCATCCTCACAATTGTTGTTATGTTTAAGGCCATTGTTTCAGCCACTGTGTCAAGCCATCTTGTTGGAGATATGTCTCTTTGATTGATGCTCCACTTTTCCAAGCTTGAAATCCTTCTCCAGGGGCTGGTCCTTCCTGACAAGTTGAACACTTGTTGTTGTTGAGTGCCATCAAGTCAATTCCTACCTATAGGGTTTCCGAGGAGCAGCTTGAACTGCCGACCTTGCAGTTCAAACGAGTTTGCAATCTGGTGCATTCGACCACAGTGCCATACCACAACTAGGAACATTAAAATTAATATCACAATAAAACATTTCCACTATTGTTTTTAGTTGCCACTTAATGTGTTGCCATTGCCACCATTGTTGTTAGTTGCCACCCAATTCTTGGTGGCATTAAGTAGAATGAATATAGAGTGAAACTGTGCCTGGTATTGAGTCTTTATGATTGTTAGTATGTTTGAGTTCATTGGTTTGGCTAAAATAAAAAAAATTAATAAAAATGATAATACCAAGTGTTTACAAGACTGTGGGATAACTGGAATTCTCATATTTTGCTATCAGAAATGTAAAATGCTAAAACCATGTTAGAAAACAGTTTGACTGTTTCTTTTAAAATTAAACCTATCAGTCTAACACTGGTGGGTCAAAAATCTGCAGACATTCTGCTTGGTGGTCACTGCACAACCTGGCAGCTGAGATGAGGAAAACTGAGGCCCAGAGTGGTGACATCATGTCACTTCCACCACTCAGCTGAGCAGTGTCAAGAGCAGAATTCAAACCCATGCTTCTCTATTGCCAGTCCAGGTTTCTGTACTCCACACCTGTCCTTGTGTGTGATCTGTGTGAAGACATGAGGATCATGAAAAACGACTCAGAGGGACTTGGGTTAGGCTCCTCATGTGGCAGATAGAAACCAGTCTCAGGGAAATAAATCCACTATTCAAGACCACACAGGCAAGTAAAGGCATCATGGTAGGAGGCTTGAAGAGGAAACACTCCAATTTGGAGGAGGAGGAAGAGGAGGAAAAGTGGGGTTGGGGGCCTGTAGGCAAGCCCTTCTCCACATCTCCCTAGACAAGGTCCAGCACAATTTGGGCCCCCATGCACCCAGCCTCCGCAGGCATGTCCTCATCCACAATACCCTACAGCAGCTCCAAGATGTTCTTCACCTTGTTCCTGCCCCTACCCTGCCCCCAGAGTCCTTCTTCTGGGGTGAAGAGGACTTCTCCCTGTCCACCACCATTGGCTCAATCCTCAGGGAATTGGAGACCTTCATGGACAAGACTGAACACCCTCCAAACCCAGTGGTTCCTCCAGGCACCCAGGATGAAGCACTGCCCCAACCTGATCCAGTCTTCCTAGAATCTCTATGTTTCCAATAGGTGCCTGGGCGACACTGGCTTGAATGACTTCTTTCTGGACATTGACACATTGGTGGTAGATAGGAAGCCCATGGTTGCTCCTCCAAAGCCCCCTCACAACCTCTTCTGTACCCTAGGGTCCTGGGAATGGAATGAACTAGATCATATCATGGAAATTAATCTAGGGTCCAACAACTTTGGAATTGGAATCCTCCTTTCTCATCTCAGCCTCATTTGGCTGAATCCCTAGATGCAACTGTGTGTATATTTGGTGGGGGTGCTCTAAGCAATGACCATGCCTCCACCCCCGTTCCTTTTTGGGGTTCCACAGTCCAATCTTGCATGTGTGTGTCTGATTACCCCAGCCTTCTGTGAAGGTGGGTCTTCCTGGTAAATGGAATCAGATATCCACAAAGTAAACAGAGTCGATTTCTAGAGAATGCTTCTAGTAGTCTTTTATGGCCCAAAGGTATCCAGGCAGGTGGCTGTTTTACCCAGCTCATTTTAAAGGCATTCAATATCTTAATATATCAATCCCATGCTCAAGAACTTGAAATTGCTCCCTATTTACTGTAGGGTAAGCACTGGACCACAAGGTCAGTTTGAACCACAAGATTGGAGGTTCAAACTCACCAGCCGTTCCTCAGAAAGCCCATATAGGGTTACTATGAGTTAGAACAGACTCGACGGCACTTAACAACAACAATAACAACAGCAAAGCCAGGATTAGCTCACAATCTCTTTTTATAAGTGAAGCTTTATTGGAACACAGCCTTATTCATTTGTTTCTATTTTGTGACTGTTTTTGCACTATGATGTCAGTTGAAATTTTGTGACAAAGACTATGGTTTGCAAAGCTAAAGATATTTACCATCTAGCCTTTTAGAGAAAAAATAGCAGATCTTTGAAATAAAGTTGTACTTGTCTATCCTACTGCTGCTTTGTTGTTGTTGTTAAGTACTGTGGAGTCGGTTCCAACTCATAGTGACCCTGCATAGGGTTTCCGAGGCTGTAAATCTTTACAGGAGCAGAACACCTTATCTTTCTCCTGCGGAAAAGCTGGTAGTTTCGAACTGCCGACCTTCAGGTTAGCAGCCCAATTCGTAACCACAATGCTACCAGAGCTCCTTACCTCTCCTTATTTTCCTGTCCTGCCTTGTAGGACTCCTGTTTCAATCATACCAGTTGTCTTATTGACGCTATACAGTACAGGCATGGTAATCTTCATTCATGCTGCAGTTGCTATTCCTTTGCTATCTCTTTCCACGGTTTCTTATCATGGAATGTTCTGCTGGAATGTCACTACTCCCAGGCCTCCCTGAAGGAGTATTTGCCAACCTTCCTCCTGCACCCCCCCCACCCCACCAAAAAAATAAAGGTTTCCATGAGTCCTGGTGTGGCACTGTAGTATCAGCACTGGACTGCTAACCACAAGGTCAGTGGTTCAAACTCACCAGCTACTCCTCAGAAACCCTATACAGGATTGCTATGAGTCGGAACCAACTCCATGGCACTTAAAACAACAACAGTAAGTATTGAATGAATGAACACAAGTGGAAATATAGTAGGCAAGCAATAAATAATGTTTGCTCTTGCTTTTATCTGAAAATTTCTTTACCTAAATAATTTTTTTTTTTTTTTAAACAGGTACTTCCATTGTGACTGTTACAGCTTTTTCTCCGGACTCAATTGGGAACAGCATTAAATATTCGATTTTTAGTGGAAATGAAGATGGAGTGTTTTCCTTGTGCCCCAAGTCAGGTAATCCATCTCTGCCCAATTATAGCTTTGTTTTATGCTCCTTTTAACATTGGTAGTAATGGCACTGGGGGATAAAACACTGAACTCCAAGGGTGGTTTGAACCACAGGGGATGTCGTTCAGACTCACCAGCTGTTCCTTGGAAACCCCATATCAGGTTGCTTTGAGTTGGAACAGACTCAACAGCACTTAACAGCAGCAACAGCAGTAATAAATACTTCTGTTAAGGTTTTGTTGTTGTGAAGTGCCATTGAGTCGGTGCCAACACATAACAGCCCTGTATAGGGTTTCCTATATGAACTTGAACCACCGACCTTGCAGTTCAAACGGCTTTGCAGTCTGGCGCATTAACCCACAGTGCCACACCAGGACTCCTCTGGTAAAGTAGAAATTGTTAAAGGTAAGTACCTTAACAGGAAAACCAGATATTTAATTTTTTTTAAGTGCCAGTAGTTGTTGTTATGTGCCGTTGATTTGGTTCCATTTATAACAACTCTGTAAAGTGTCGAAGGAGTGGCTGATGGGTTTGAACATCAGACCTTGTGGTTCACAGTCAAGTGCTGATCCTACACAGCCATACCAGGAGTCCTTTTTTAAGTGTGTGTTATTATTATTGTTAAATGCTAGCTGATGAGAAATTATTGGAAATCAATTACTACTTTTTTGTTTATGTGTCCTCACTGAGAAGTCTATTATTCTCATTTACAAACTAGGCAACATCCATCCTACCCTTCAAATTTTTGAAGATAAATTGGTTTCTACTTATAATTTGCCCATCTATTTGGAACAGTTGGAGCCATAATAGGGAAGTCATTGATACTGAGTTTGAATTGAAAATAAGCACACGTGTCTAGCCTTAGGGAATTTTCATCAGAGAGTCTTCTAATTCGCCACTGAATGTCGACAATCTTACAAAAAAGGGCAGCTGGAAAGGTTTCTGTGTGGTGGTAAAGAAATTACTTCCAAATCCAGCATGTATTAAATTTAGCTTTAATAAGTCCATTATTGTGTTTTAAATGAATACCAATTGATGATTTGAAACATAATCTTTGACCAACAACTGTATGATAGATATATATCTACTGTTTCATTGTCAAAACTTAAGAAGAATGTTTTTAATCATTTCTATATTGCCATACAACTGCCTTACTTAATCTGTACTGTATGCACATGGGACGAATTGAAAGGGGGTAATTTCTTAAGTAAAATCCTTCTGACTTAGAATGGTGTTTAGACTTTTGGCCCACATAATCTTTTGTTGTTGTTGTTGTTGTTGTTAAGTGCCATTAAGTTGATAACTACTCCCAGTGACCCTGTATAGAGTTTCCGAGGAGCAGCTGGTAGATTTGAACCACTGCTCTGCTGGTTGAGTGTTTATTCTACAGCATTACTGATGTAGCCTGCTGTAAACCTTCATCTCTTCACCCCGTCATGGTATAGGAAGACTTCTGGCAAAAGAGTCATTTGTGAACATCACCAAATCTTTAAATTCTGAGAGTCCTAGTATCTGAGCACTCTGGACTATGAGAATATTTAGGAAGAAAGGGGAGCTGCAGAGTTTGCATATTTTCCCAAGCTACCCAAATCCTTCTGCTGGGCTTCAGTCCTTCTGACGTAGCCTGGGTTTGACCTTATTGTTTCTCTAAAATCCTTCCTTAAAATGCTGACAAAAATTTGCCTAGGGCTAGTCCAAAGAGGCCATCCAAACATAAAAAAAATAAACCAAAAACCCTCTTCATTTGTCAATAATTATTTACTTAATTTTTATCTTTATTTAAAATCTTATTGTGAAGTATCTACAAAATGGTATATTAAAACACATAAAGCTATGTAATGGAAAGTAATAAAATAAATGAGTCCTGGCGTGGCACTGTAGAATAAGCATTGTTTGAACACCACAAGGTTTGGGGTTCAAACCCACTAGCCACTCCTTGAAAACCCTCTACAGCTTGCTGTATCTGAACTAACTCGACAGCACTTAGTGATAAATAGCAAAAGTAAAATAAAAGCCCATAAACCTGCCACCCATCTTAAGAAAGAATATATTGCTAGAACTTTAGGAAATACCCTATGTGTCCTTTCTCTCACATGTCTCTCTTATTTCATCCCAGAGGCAATGAGTAATATAGATTTGGTATTGATAAATGCTTTCCTTTATAATGTTTCTATTTTATTTGTATTCCTACATAATATGTGAATTCGTTTTACCTTGTCTTAAGCATCAGGATTGCATCGTTCTATATGTACTCTTCTATGAGTTGGTTCTTTTGCTCAACATTTCTACAGTATTTGTGTGTGAGAGATTTATGATGCATAAACCATGTACATAAACATTGAAGACCAATAGCAAGGATTGATATGTACCTGCCAACAAAACTATAAAATAGAACATAACTTGTTGTTGTTGTTGTTAAGTGCCGTTGAGTTGATTCCAACTCATTGTGACCCTGCATAGGGTTTCTGAGGAGCAGCTGGTGGGTTTGATACACTGACCTTGTGGTTCACAGTCCAGTACAACACCAGGAGTCTAGAACATAACTGCTATTGCCAAATTCAGTGCTCTCTTTGTGCCCCTTTCTGATTGCATTCTTTCTTTCCACTGTCCCAGTTTTACTCTCTTGATGTTGGAGATAATAATTCCCTTGAAATCTGTATTAAATGCATTTCTACAGAATAAATTGTTTAAATTTTTCCTGTTGCTAGGTTTTATATAAATGAAGGTTTTGTTGTTGTTGTTAGGTGCCATCGAGTCGGTGCCGACTCATAGCAATCCTATGCACAACAGAACAAAACACTGCCGGGTCCTGGGCCAACACCACTATTGTTGCCACACTTGAGTCCATCAATGCTGTACTTGGCCAATCCATCTCGTTGGGGGTCTTCCTCTTTTTCTCTGACCCTCCACCTTACCAAACATGATATCTGCCTACTACTTGCTCTCATGTTTTCCTGTGTTTCACAATGAAATCTTTAACCTACCTAGAATTGACTTACATTTCTTGTGAATTAGATATCACATTTAATCCCCCATGAGACAAACTGATAAGTATTCCAATAGGAATAATCTTCTTTTTTGATCGGCAATATTGCCACTGTCATATATCATGTGTCCTTGACTTTTTACTAGACTCTCTAGCTCTTTTCAGTCATCTTTTTTTTTTTCTTCTACAAAAAGTAGAAATACCAGAAGCAAGTTACCCCTCTCCAACATTTGTTGTATCCTTATATTTGTCTTCATTAGTAGATTAACTCTCAGTGACTTTTTACCAGTCATTGGACGTAGTTATCAACACATACATACCACACAAAACTTACTGAGATGTTTATTGATGTATCAATTCTATATAAGTAACTTGGGGAAAATCTATATTAGACTATAGTATTTTCTATTTTCCAGGACTATAGAATATTACACCAATTATTTCTTTAGTATCTTTCAATAAAGTTTGGTGTTTTTCTAGAGTGAGTTTGCCTTTCTCTTGTGAAATTTAATTCTAAATACTTATATTGTTTCTTGAAAAAAAAAAAAAAGAAAAGAAAATATTTAAATGCTTTTTTCCTGACCATGCATGCTGGAAATTAGCTTTTGTATTTTGATTGTGCAGCTAGCCACCTTACATTTCCTTGTCATTGTGATTATTTATCTATATATTATACACAGATGCTGATCACCTGAAAGTGATCGTTTTCCTCGTGTTTTTTGTAAGTTCTATAGATTATTTTCCCTCTAGCCTAGCCATTTTCACATAGATCATTAAATTAACGTCTTGTGATTTGTATTAGTTGTCATCAAGTCAACTCCCTCCTTGTGGTTATCCGCGCACAATGAAGTGAAGCACTGCCTAGTCCTGCACTTGTCCCTTGATGGATGTGCATGGGACCATTGTACTCCATGGGACTTGTATTTGGTGGTTTTTGGAAGTAGATAGACCATCAGGTCTTTTTTCCTGGTTCATCCTAGTCTGGAAGCTCCTTTGAAACCTGTTTAGCATTGCTAATTAATATCCTGTTCATGTGCAATGCAAGAGACTTGTTATTAAGTGCTGTCAAATTGGTTCTGATGCATGTTGTTGTTGTTAAGTACCGTCGAGTCAACTCCAACTCATAACGACCCTGTACAGGGTTTTTGAGGAGCAGCTGGTGGATTTGAACTGCTGACCTTGTGGTTCGCAGTCTAATGCTGAGCCTACAGTGCCACACCAGGAGTCTAATTCATAGTGTCCCTACATAGGGTTTCCAAGGAGCAGCTACAATACCACAACAAAAGAGACTTTGTTGTTAAGTGCTGTTGAGTCAGTTTTGACTCATCACAACTCTGTTTTCGAGGAACGACTGGTGTGTTTGAACCACCCATCTCATGGTTTAAACAGACTACATGGTCTAGTGGTTATCTTACAGTGCCAGACCAGTACTGTGTACAAGAGACTTCATTGTTGTTGTAGTTGTTAAGTGCCATCAAGTTGGTATTGATTCATAGCAATCCTGTATAGGGTTTCCGAGGAGCAGCTTGTGAGTTTGAACCACTGACCGTGCGGCTCAAACAGGCCTTGAGGCCGAATGCTTATCCTCAGGTGCCACACCAGGACTCCAGCAAGCTGAGTGTCAGTTTTGGAAGCCAAATTAGACAAATATTGACCCACACCACTCTCCTACATTGTTTTTTCATGTTTGTCACCTCTTGGTCTCTGCTATTCAATCTGAGGAATTGTGTTGTTAATTTACAGAGTTCTCTTTGGATCTTTTTCAACTCATCTTTGTCTTAAAAAAAGACTTCGTATTCTAGTGGTTAAAACACTCAACTATTAACCAAAGTCTGCACTTTGAGCCCACTGTTCTGTGGAAGAAAGACATGGCAGTCTGCTTTTGTTAAGATTACAGCTTTGCAAAATCATAAGGGGCAGTTCTATTCTGTCCTATAAAATCATTATAAGTTGAAATCAGTGCTATGGTTGTGGTTTTTGATTTTGGTTAAATAAATATATGTTGTTGTTAAATGTCGTT